AAAAAGATTGTTGCACGATTTCAAAAGACTGAGCGATAAATGTCAAGGTAGGGTCGAGAAATTTATCAGATTGACTGATTTAAAAAAAAGCTGGGCCAAATTCTTGCATTTCGATGACCACTGTGACCTAGCACTAAAACGGTAATTCGCAGAATAGGAAGACTTTGGGTGCTCAAATATTTCCAGTAAACAATTCCAAGAATTTCTAACGAAGGTTACGTCACATACAGACGCTTAGTTTCTCCTCAGAGCAAAGTCTCCAATTACACAGCTTGTAATACGCTCTCTGCCCGACACCAAAGTTTCTTTGGCTTTCCACCACTTCTGTTTTGTATTTCGCTGCTTTCCAATGAGCTTACCCGTATGCATACCTACCGATTACCTACAGATTCTCTTTTCTAGAAAAAATCCTATTCTCATCCCCTACCACTCCGAGTAGCGCTACCAGATCTAGTTAGGTGATTGGAGTAGCCTGTCAACGGACAGGAACGAAGGTTTATTTTTCAAGCATTCATTACACATTTCTTGAACTTAAGTCTATATCATCTGTTATTATACTATGAAAAAAAGCCACTAATCTTATTCCGGTTTGATAAGCACGGCGAGCGCGTGATAACGCTGCGAAAAACACCAGCCGTCTAAAGCACTCTGTTACAACGCATCTGTTGGACTTTCACCCAAATAAAAAACAACTTTCTCCTAAGAATCCCACAAAGCCTTTCTCCGAGTGTAATGACTTGGGATTTTTTGTGCAGTGGAAACAAATGAAGTAGAGTGCTTCACAAATAGGGCACTACCGTGCCAAACATGGTACGCGGAGAAGTTTCAAAAAATAGAATGCCCACACAATCTATGTCTTTGTGACTTGTACCAGCTTCTTGAGAGACAGAAGAAGCTCTCGCACTTATTTGATAATGAAGAGTAGTTCCTTCCCGCATGAAATACGAAATCTTTTGAATAAACAGCGCTTGGTATCAGGTCATAAAACGATCGACGCTCACGCAAACGACGCAACAGACCCCTGCCAACATCGAATTACACGTATTCCGATCGAGCGCTGCCGTCACTAGACAGGCGCAGACATTGAAACGTGACATTTGGTTCATTCCAAAAACTTTCCACAACTTCATCCTTCCTTCTTGTGCGTTCTTTGTCACGTGAAACCTCCATGCTTAACTCACGGTCTGTGAATGAGAGCGCTTCGAGAACTTGTTTTCATACAATGGAGAGAAATGACACGAATGTCCCAAAAATTAAGATCGAAAAACGAGGCGTTAATCGCCTGACCGAAACAATAAACTTTCCCGTCGTCAACAGTTTTTACTTTTTGACACACATTCTAATCCTACTGAACGTCTGGCGTTCAAAACCGCTTTGCACGAGGGTGTACAACCCTGTCCCCTTTTCTAGCTGTCAAAAAATCCTTCGCAAAAAAGTAACGGTATCACTGGTGAGAAATGTAAGCAACCAAAAAAAACCGGCTCACAACAGCCCCTTGCACAGCGAATTTTATGTCAAGGGAATCAATGTTTTTGAGCGGCTGGAAGGTGCTGATGTGAATCCGAAAACAAAGGTCTCGATACTGAAAAGCAAACACAGCTGCAATACGCTCAATGAATGCGATATCAAATCAATACTCAAATATAGCTCGATACAGTAGGCTACCGCTTAAAAGTACAAAAAGAGCGGAAAACCAAACATAATGGATAAAATGACGATTTCACAGCAGCAAGCTTCTTGTTTTGCTCCACAAATTGATCAAAATTAAATCAACTGAAAAGTTCTAGTTGAAAATCACACGAACCTGCTGACATTTTCTCTCAAATGGGACGGCTCAGCTGGATAGTAGCGAAAGCGCAAGCGAAGGGCAAGAGAATCGGCTGCAATCGAGACAACATTCCACTCCGAAAGCGCACAGTCACACTATTTATGTACAGGAACTAACAAATACTTACACTTGAATTGCTTCGCGATGTGCGAAATCGGTCGAGACAGATCCACCCAATACTGGAAATAATTAAACTGTAGAGAAGAAGAAGAAATGAGACGATTTAGATACGTACACGATGTTTGTTATGATCCTGGTAACGGAGTCCGAGGTAGTCCTTTTCACGAATGTTCTTCAGCTCACAAATATAGTCCAGTATCGCTTTGCTGGTTGGCGATCTCTAAAAAAGCAAATATCACGTACGTGCGATTTCAGAAAAAAATTTAGGAAAGTTTGTAAGCCCAGGTACGGTATTTTGAGGATTAAAAGAACATAATTATAGGATATAGAACGCAATAGGATATGAACACGCTTCACTAAACATGGTCAATTAGCGCATTCCACGAAAAAGTCCGAATTGGAAGGTACGGTTTATCGCATCATGGACAAAAAGACTTGAAGAATTTGTTCTCTGATGTATCTTTCACAACCCTAGTCCCTGGAAATATCACAATGCAATTTTAAGTCGAAACCACAAAAGCTTTTCTCGAGGTTTCAAGCCTCTGTACAAAAATGAACACTGTGTAAGAACCATGGCCGCTCGAGAAAGAAAAAAATGCCGATCCTGGTAAAAGGGACGGAAACCTTTGATGTTGAAAAGGTGGAGAGAGAAATAAGCATGCACCTTTCAGATGACAAGTGCCTCTCATAGATGTGAATAACCCGACTCCATTTTCGTTAAACTGGTCTTGGACCAAAACAAGAGCTTTAAGCGTTCTTTGGCTGCTTTGGTGATATCGATTCAAAAGAGTTTTGCCGGCGCACTTGCATACTTTGAGAGCCTCTCCCATGCCTGAATGAAATTCGCCACATCCGGAATTTGCAAAAGAAGCTAGATCAATGCCTTATATGGCAACGGGGAGGGCGCAGACGACGGCAGACCCATGAGCAGATTGATCGGTCAGCCCATTATGCATTCGGACAGATGTCAAGACGAACGGCCCAGCTAAGGAACTCGTCAAATGCTTAATGAGGCCAGAGAGCCCTTTCAAATCCCTCAGAATTTATTCTATTTCACTCAGAAACCAAAGTGAACAGGACACAGTTAGCGAAATGCCGTTTGATGGCCAAATAAGCCATTGAGTTTCTCAGCAAATCTTTGCGCTCCATCAGCGATAAGGAACCTTATTTGCATAGTTTTCAAGTCTCAGAAAGGATAATGGTTACGGAAGTAAAAACGAGGAAATACAAAGAAGATGAGATGGAAAGTAATTACGGATCTTACACATGTTCTCGTACGAATTCATACGATCGAAAGTGGAGATAAATGTCGGTCATTGCGACAGAAAGATTGAGCGATTCGAAACGGATACAAGACAACGAGACGAGCGAACACAACGAAATGGAAAGGACCATGAATGTAAAATGAAATGAAATGATTGCAAAAACCTACCTTGAACTCATTGATGACAGTGTCCGCGTCGTTGAGCAGCTGTACGGTGACTTTAACTTCTTTTGGTGAGATGAAGCTGGAACGGGCCGAAAGTCGGCCCAGGAATGAAGAGGACGAGTTAAGCGTCGGCATCTGATCCTGGGGAACGGAACCGTTGACGATGGACTAGCCGTCAATGGGCATCGACTCTGCAAGAGTCTGTTCTCGTACGACCTCTCGACAGCTCGGTGCACCCGCGACGGACGCGGCCCCGTTGCCCCCGCCTCAGCGCCGCCCTCTCACCGCCATGCGCCGCCTACCGCAGGCCCTTCCGCGCGGGACCAGCGGCCGTCGAGGGATTGGCGCGGAAGTTCCCAAGTGCAGTCTCATAGTTGGGAGCGGTTCCCGTGCAGGATTCGCCTTGGGAACTGATTACGCTGGAAGTATGGGCGTTTTACAGGTCAGGTGTTTCAGTTTTACCCCACAAGAACCCACGGGAAGGTGCCCAAATGCTTATTTTATTCCCTTTGATCATGGTGGGTGTCCTG